TAAAGCTTAGGACAAACGTGATGTGTTGGAGACTGAGAAAAATGCACAGCACTTCCATCTGTAGCAGATAAAATCCAGTTTTATCTCACATGATAGTAATATTAACATGACAGAATTAGAGGCATTCATGTTCATTACATCTCAGGAGAGGTAAAGAAGTTCCATCTTGAACTACCAAGGCGTAGTCCTATCATAAATTCCAAGACAAAGGTATAAGATACAATGTTTGGAAGTTGAAGCTAGACAAAGTCAGGCTGGAAATAAGGAGTAAATTTTTAACAATGAGGGTAGTTAACCACTAGAACCATTTACTAAGGATAGTGGTGAATTCTCCATCACTGGCAATTTTAAAATCAAGATTGGATGTTTTCTGAAAGACATACTCTAGTTCAATCAGGGATTATTTTGGAAAACTTCTCCGGCCCATGATATACAGGAAGTCAGAATGGATGAGCGCAGTGGTCCCTTCTGGCCTTAGAATCTATGAAAGACTACCTGATATGGGAGTAAAAGAAAATGTGAAGCATTTGGAAGCATCACTCTGATGAGAAGCATTTAATGGGATCTATCTACCTATTTTAGGTATTTCTATACCTGTGACAGATGTGGAGCTGCTCTGTAATAATGAATGAATACTGTATGTTGAGTGGGTTATTGAGATGTTTACTGTGTGAATGTATTGGTTTTGTTTAATAGGGTACTGTCCTGCTGTAAGGAAAAATAAGCAGGAAGCAAAACAATGGCTCAAGATAAGCCAATCCTCAGGAAGCATTTATGGGTTGGTAAGAGACAGTGTGTGACAGGAAAAGACTATGGAACACAAGAAGATCAAAAGGACTATAGCAGTTTAAGAAGAGACTCTTGGGGCTAGGGGAGGCCAGGAGTTGTTTGGGATATGTTCAAGAAACCAGACTGACACAACCATGTGCTGGGAAGGTCTGAAGAGGTTAGGCCTGTCCAGGTCACCACGAGGAGATGGCAAGCCTTAAGTAGGATATACATGCACATAGACTATTTGTTTTAAAATTCATTTTTTCTTATGCTTTGTTCCTACCATGAGAATAAAGAATAGTTCGGTTTGAGGAAGGCTATCTAGTTATTATACTCACCGCTGGTTACACACTCACAAAAGGAAGAACTGTAAACATGATAATGCCTATCACCATGGTATCTGAGCTTCCTATTAAAAGATGCACATGGTGCATCTGTACAATAACAATGGCACTTCTTCCCAATTTTGCATTTTATCTGCTTTAAAGTTATACCTCTAACTGATCACGATCATGAAGGAAAATGAAACACATTCAAGCCAAGCAAATGTCATGCTCAGTTTATCACCCCCAAAATCATAGTTACATCAAAAAATCTTACAGAATTGGCATCTGTTCTCAAATAGATTGCCCTCCCCGATCCTGTTTGCAAATAAGTAACTCACCAATGTACCATGCAAAAACAACAGGAGGACCAAATGATTCAGGTGGTTGGTAACCTTCACCTCTAGAACCCTAGTTAGAAGTAGCCCATGTTGGTAGTGACTGAAAGTTACCTCCATCAGACAGCTGTTAATGGCTAATGTATAATGAATTTGCTGGCTCACTCCACTTCCCAACAGACAAAAGTCATTATCCCAAAAATCACTAAATCAACCTGCATTTAATTCACTGCCTTGTTGGCATTCTCAACAGAGAACATTGAATAGGCCTGGAGACAAAACTACTCTTTCACCCAAAAAGCTGGCTCCCTCCAGAACAGAAGTGGAGTATATGGACAGAGCAGTGTGGAGAAACTTATGCCTGATTTGTGGCTAAAAAGAGGATTTCCATGCTCAGTGCTGTATTCCTAAAGGGAGCTACACAAACCCAACATTTATATTACTTGGAATAAGGAAGATTTAAACAAAACACACAACTGTCTGAACATGAATACATCCACTAGCTAGATAGCCTTCAAAAAAAAAAAATGCGCTCCCCCCACAGGGAAAGGCTAGTCAGAGGCAGACAAGGAAAGACAGCAAGGCTGACAGAAATGTAAATACTCCCACAAGTGTTTTTAAAAAATAGCAGGGCAAAGGAAGATGAGAGAGCATGCAGACATTTGAAGATATATATACAGGCACTAGACCACATTCAACAAGTACACAAAGTACAGATCAGCCCAAACAGGAACGCTTCTGAACTTTGGGAAAGTGATGGCTTAAATGCCAACATTCATGACATACCATGGCTAGCAATACCTGCTTTATGTAAAGAATATCTGGTGATGGGGCATAGTATAATGGCTTTACTAGCCCTTGTTTGGAATGACCTACATGACTTACTTGAGGTTTTGCAACCTGCAAATAATGTGGTTATCCCAAAATATTATTAGCATCAGTTTTGTATAGCTTCATGCCCAAACAGATATGATCCCATATAGTGACACACAGGCTAGTTATTAGTCAATAGCCTCAGATGCACACCATAAATATGTTGCAAAATTAAAACACAGGTGTCTAATCACATGAGCAATCAAGCCTGGCAAAAAAACCAAAACAAAACAAAAAACCAACTTTGAGCTACAAGTCGTTGGAGTGGAAATTTTTAACTCTCTGTTAACAAACCCTGCCCAATTTATCACTAATCAGTTTATTCTGAGTTACTGCTACATCCTAGCTCTAAAACTTCTCAATTTTCCACTGCTTCCTCTTTAAACAGAGGATCTTGGCAGCTCAGAAATCATCATGCTCCATTAGGAAAACGGTGTGTGGAGAGGAGGATAACTGGTATAATGAACTTGAGCAGAATTCGGAAGCACCATTTAAATGTCTAACACCAATTATTACTTAAAAGGGAGAACAGTTTTTCTTTTATTAGAAGAATGTTCATATTTGCCTCCTGTCATTCTATCTGTTATGTTTTCTGACTGTAATGTTTTAGGGCTCTACTCAGTTAAATAAAATATATTATCATTTTACAGTGGCCTCACAGAATTTGTTTGTGGAAGATGAAGGGGCCCAACACTCCCTGTACCAAGGCAAATGTTGCCAGGATGGAGATCTACATAGAAATGTACACTCAAATGCAGCCAAAATAGACCGAAACCGGCATGGTGTCCATCTCTCTTTTTAATTATGTGGGAACCAATCTCCCATTCAAAGCAAGAATTAGCACATCAGGAAAACTGTCTTCCTTATTAGAAAGCTTCCATGGAAACAGTATTTGCAGGGGACCTTGCCACACGCTTCCCTTTACATTCACTTCGAAATCAGCAATTAGCAGGGTCTTGAGTATGTCATGACATCACTCCCAAAATGGCCAATTACAATATATTAATAATAGCAACAACAAAGCTGCAATCTCAGCCACAGCTAACCAGTATGCCAGTGACATTGAGAGAGCTTAGCTTTCTTCACAAAAATATTTACACCAGTCAGGTCTGTTAGACACCTGTCATTCTTTCCTCTCTCTCTTTCCTTCTACAAGTGCCCTTCTTCTCTTCTCTTCCATTCTCATATTCAGAATCCTCCTTTCATTTCCTCTCTCTTCTTGCCTTTCCAGCTAAGCTTCCTTCTGCTCTACACCTAGTTCTTTCTGTCACCTTCCCCAGGTCTTAACTCCTCCTCCTGCATCTCTGACTTCTTTCCATGACTACTGTACCTCTTCACAGATAATTGGGCATTTCAGGAAGCCTCATTTCCTTAGAGACAGGTTTCCTGTTAAGCTCTAGAGAAGACAGCTTCTCAATATACATTAAATAAGCCTCAGACAGCTAGACGGTTGTAGAGTTACCATTTGTGTTCAAAAAGATCTGAGTGTCTCTGCCTATACACTTTATTTAGTGATCGGGGCTCACTTCGGGTCAGGGATCCCAAACTGTGGCTCTAGCATGTGCATAAAAGGGTTAGGAGTAAAAGAGACCACTATTTTTCTGCTTAAATATACACAAGAAAGAAAATTAAAGCAGATGTACTAGACAATTAGGTCCCTTTAATCTATCCTTTCCCTCCTTCCCCCTTTTTTTTCCTTAGGTCACTAAAGCCATGTTTACACTACAAAATTTTGTCAACCTAAGTTACATCGGCATATAGCCACCGCAGTTATTAAATCGTTTGTGTGCGCGCATACTTGGCTCCTTGTGTTGGCGGTTTGCGTCCTCACTATGAGTGCTTGTATTGATGTATATTGTCAGTGAGGGGCACTGTGGGACGGCTCCTGGAAGCCAGTAACAGTTGACGTAAGCAATGCCATGTCTACACTGACATTGCATTGACCTAATTCCATCGTCCATGACTCTACGCTGCTCGAGGAAGTGGTGTTATTAAGTCGGCGTAGAGAGGCACTTACATTGGTCGGAGCCAAATTTAAGTGAAGACACTTCCATAGCTAGGTTGATGCAAGGCAGCTTATGTTGACCTAACTCTGTAGTGTAGACCAGGCCTAAGGCACTCTACAGCACAGTTTATAAATGACACTAGCAACAACCATCCAACCATTTCCAAGATTGATTGCCAAGCATGATTCTATCAGAACGCTGCTTGTCAACTACCATAGCTGTAGCATGTCCATTGCTGTATTTATTTATATATTTAACAGCGATGTTAGATGCATCCAGGCTATAGATGCCCCCATAGACAGTTTATAGCAAAATTATAAGTCATGATTGTAAGATGGCTTGTAACCAAGTTAGAGGTGGATGTAAACTATATTAGGTTGCCACCATCTTTTTTTTATTTATAATTTTTTAATTATTTTTTCCAAAATGCAACAAATATACCAAAATACCAGATTCATCATAATACATAAAGTAAATAAAGAGGGTTAGGATAAAGGGAGAGGAGAGGAAGCAGCTGTAACCAACTTTGAAAATTGCCTGGTTACTTACAAGCCATTGTGCTGACAGAACATAAGCCAGACATTTAAATCCTTCAGCTTGGATGTGAACTCCAGTAGAAGTGTCACATGACATTCAATACTATAAAAGTACATGTTCTCTTAAAAAGGATTTTGAAAAGCTTTGTGTACCTTCCTCACTGGATTCAAAGAGGGGTGTTGCACAGTGCTCTCTGGGGAGGGACTGCTGGTTTCTTCAGCTAATGGTTGTGACGGAGGTGGAATAACATTTCTATCAAGAGGAAGCACCGGCTTTTCGCTTTCTAGTTCAGCAGAATCCTCACAAACCTATGATGAAAGGATAAAATGTCAGTGTTTCCAGGAACTCAGATCCAGTAAATCGTAGGAAGATAACATCAGCACACTGTATGTGAAATATTAAAACAATGACCATTCCTTATAATAACAACACTGTTGTTTTAAAGACACTCAAAATAACCCAAAACAGAGAGAGACAGACAGACAGACACAAACTGATCTCCCTCTTAGGCTTTGTCTATACTAGTACTTTAGTTGGCAAAACTTTTGTCAGTCAGGGGTGTGAAAAAAACACACCCCTGACCAATACAAGTTTCACCGACAAAAGCGCTGGCATGAACAGCGCTATGTCGGCAGGAGACGATCTCCTGCCGACATAGCTACTGCCACTCGGGAGTGGTTTAATTATGCCGGTGGGAGAACTCTCTCCTCCAGGCATAGAGCGGCTACACCGGAGACCGCACAGCAGCCCAACCGCAGCAGTACAGGTGTGCTGCTGTCAAGTCCATAGTGTAGACATAGCCTTAGCATATCATGGGAAAAATCCTGCACAGAATCTACCTTGAATGGTCTAAAATCCAGGTATTCCCACACACTATCTGCCTTGACAGCTAAAACCAATGTGAGCACTTTGGAAGATGGTCAGAGTTTACAGAACTTAGGCCTGGGCAGAGTTTACCAAGTGAAAGAATCATGACTGTGGAATTCATTTCTTGGGAGATCTTCCTGAACTCCCACCATCTTTTGAGTGCATTTCAAGAGCCATCTCTTTGTGCAGGCTTTGCCTAATGGGGTCTGGGAAGCGCTCAGCCATATTGCCCTGTGTGGCCACCACGGCCACCAGCAGGCTCAGTTCTAGATTTTAATTATATGGTTCTGACTGAGGGCAGGAAGGGGAGGATATGGCTCATTTTATAGAATTCTAGTGTATTATCTAGTGTGGTCTCCTGCTGGTTGAAAAATCAGCTAACAGGGAATGTACACTTACTATAACCCATCACCTATACAGCTCTGACTCTGTTTTATTCCCTTCACTTGTCCATGTGACGTTGTCATTTACTGATGATATGTAGCAGGCATGGCCAAACTGTGGCTCCTGAGCTGCATGTGGCTCTTTTACAGTTAAAATGCAGCTCATGGAGCCCCCCGTGCACCCCACATTCTTTGACTACCAGACTGGGTGGGGGGAGCTTGGGGCTTCTGCCCTGCTGCGGGGTGGTGGGACTAGGAGCTTCTGCCCTGCGGTGGGGTGGTGGGACTAGGGGCTTCTGCCCTGCAGGGAGGGGGATGTAAGGGCTTTAGCCCCATGCCCCAGCAGGCGCTGGCCCATGGGGCAGGTTGTGCATGTCTTGCAGCTCTCGAACTTCTAAGGATTACTGTATGCGGCTCGGAGGGTCAGTAAGTTTGGCTACCCCTGTATGTAGCAAAAGAAAGGTAGAGTGGTTTTGTGATTAAGGCTCTGGACTGTGGCTCAGGAGACCTGGTCTCTGTTCCCAGCTCTGCAACAAACTTCCTGTGTGATCTTCGGCAGGTCATTTAATATCTCAGTCCTTCAGTTCCCCATCTGTAAAATGGGGATAACAACACTTATTTTCTCACACCTTTTGTTTGTCTTGTCTATTTAGAATGTAAGATCTTTGGAACAGGAACTACTTCTTGTTGTCTATGTACAGAACCTAGCACAACAAGGCCCTGATCTCAGTTGAGGCCTTGAGTCCGTACTGTTACACAAATATTCACAAAATAACTTGTACTGTAAATAATAAAGTTTTAACCACCCAAAATGGTGGTAAAGTGATTTCCATACATTTAATTAGCATATTCCAAAAATAAAATCTCAACACTCACCTGAGTTATGCTTCACAACTAAAGCTGCTATCAGATCTGTTGCATTTACAATAATTTGGTTAATAACACGGAAATATCTACATTTATAATCTCAGTCTCAAGGTCTGAGCCAGTGCTGACTAAATGCATTGAGGGGGGGAAGGGATGCTCTGGAGAACTTACTTGTTGCACTTCATCTTGGATTTGCTGTTGAACTGGGGCTGGTTGCCTCACTATGTAGTTTATCTGTCCAACAATGGTTTGCTGAACATGCTGAGGCTGTTTGGCTTGATTCAGCTGCAAGCTTGGTTGTCCTTGAGCCTGAAGGAGAAGCTCCAAATCCTTTTTCATTTCTTCCAGTTCAAATTGGTGGTGCATTATGTCCAGACTCTGTTGTATGACTTGTTCATGAGCGTTTTCATTCTGACTTGTCGTGGGAGGCGGTGGATGTGGTTGCTGCTGCTGCATGTGGTTAAGCTTCAGCTTCTGAAGATGACCAAGCTGCACTTGCACAGTTGGAGTTTGCAAAGCAGGCTGTGTGTGCAATTGTTGCACATGACCAGAGTGAACCTGATGAATATCTTGTGGGGGAACCGTGTAAACTGGATGTGGAGTCTGCTGTGGCTGCTGAGCTTGCAAATGTTTTCCCATCCTTACAGATACATTATCTTGCTCTGAATGGGATGGCTGCTCTAGACAAGGCTGCATTATTTTCAAAGGCTGAGGTGTGCCCCTCTGCTCTTTTTCATGCTGCTGAACGTTATATTGCAGTGGAAAATGCGGTGGCGGCTGCTGCTGCATTTCAAGAGGTTGTCTAAAATTCTGATGATGGCTCATATGGTGCTGAGGACGCTGACCCTTATTCATGTGAGGAATGTTGAAGCAATGGGAGCAACACACTGGTGTAGGAGACTGAACAGGAGGTGGAAACTGATGTGACTGGTTATTGATAGCCTCAAGCTGTGGCGCTGGCGAATGTTGTCCATGATACATTGATGTCTGTAGTCCTTGTATATTTCCATAGGTTGGGACATCTGAATGAGGAGTGTGTCCACCTTCCATTGTTAAGCTACCTGTGAAAGCAGTACAATTATTTTCACTACAATTAACTGCTATCTTCACTTGTTCCTAGCCAATGAACTGGGATCTTGACAAATTGTTCAATTTACTACTTTATGGGTAAATTCTACAAAGGCAATTTCTTTGTCTCAGGTTCAATTTTGAAATTACTCAGATCCTGTTTAAAAAGCCCTTCAGGATAATTTCTCATTTTCTTCTATCTTTTCCACTAAACAAAACCATCGAGGATACATTTTCTAAGAATTTTGCATGATTTTAAAATCACACAAAACTCCCACTGATGTCAGTCGGACTCATGGTTAAAACACCAGTCACTGCTTTGAAAAATTGCCACTCAACTCCCATTATTTTAACTGATGGATGTGGCCAAAGCTACTATTTTTACTAATGTATAAACATATGTTCTCATCCATAAACATAGACACACAGAACATTTCTTTTCAGAATGAAAGTAAGACAAATAAATTGGATGGATGTCATGTAGAAGAGAATCATAAAATCACAGAAGACAGAGACAGACACAGCCTATGAAGTGATCTTGTCAATCCCCCTGAGAGTATAGGATTATTTCCTACAGTATATTTTCTAGTGCTTTATGCAGTCTAGTGTTAAATGTCTTAAAATGGGATGAGGAATGACTTTTTAGATCTTTGATCAGAAGACTGAACTGAATTACTGGAAAAACCTACTGCAGCCAGCAAATGTATAGCAGGTGGAAGGCACAAGATGAAATGTATGTATATATATTATATAAATAGATATACAACCGGCTGGATCCTTAGGTCCATCATGTCTTGTGCATCCACTGCAGTGTGGGACAAAGTTGTCTTTAAGCCACCTTTGTGCCCCCCAATCCTGACTGTGCCAGGCACTGGTCAGGTCCCAAGGCCATTCCGTCAGCATAGGGATGCCCCAGCCAAGGCCACTCTGTGGAAGATAGGAGGGAATGGTGTAGGACTTGCTACAGTGGCTCTTTTCCATCCAGAGAATCCTCCACTGGCTGACTAGGCTGACTTTAGGGCCACTGGAATGGTACAAAGCTGCCACTTGCTAGGGAGGATGGGGCCGGTTTGCTCAGAACAGTATTTGGCATAAAACTCTTGATTTGAATTTGGCATTGAGTGTTACTACAATGTATGTCATTTCAGTAAAATGTTTATGTTCAATCAAATATATAGCAAGAATAACAAAGGCATCTACAGAGTATAACTTATAATTTGTGGTTTGGGTTTTGTTTTAATGTACTCTAATAAAAACTGGAATTAACAGGTCCATCTCTTACCCTTCACTTATTTCCTTCTCATAATAACCTTTCAAATAATTAGGACACAATCACATAGCAAACAGCTTGAAATTAATACGTCATTACATCATAAGTTGTTCTAGCCGTACTGGTCCCAGGATATGAGAAATAAGGTGGGTGAGGTTAAACCTTTTATGGGGTGTCCTATAGTGTCCATATAAGGTATTACCACATCCACCTTGTGTATTACATAATAAAGCACACAAACAGCTTGCTATGTCATTGTATTCTGTATATTATCATTATAAAATAAGGTAAGTGAATGTTCCTGAAAATCTGTAATGTCTTCCTGTGTCTTTTACTCCTCTGAGTTGCATGTATATTAGCTGTTCTGTTTTCTGACCATAATTGGTGAAATTTACACAAAGACACCCCCACCACCACTCTTCACAAAGCCAGTAATGTCAGTTGCATAGTTTATTATTGTGCAACTCCCATATAACCAAAGGGGTCATATTTTGTCATGACCTTATCTAACTAAGTCAGCACTTACCACCTGGGTGCCTCATATTTTAAAAGGGATTTTATTAATGATATACCATCACATAGTATTCTGTGTAAGTTCTTTACATCTACAGTGCCATTCAGACACTTTTTTTCTTGGACAGCTGATATATTGTACATCACAGTGTAATAATACTTAACATTTAGTGCCGTTCAGCTGGTTTGAAGTGTCCCATGGCAATGAAATAAGGCTTAACGAGACACTATATTTTACACTATCATGCCCTCTACAATTTCTTAACTAAGCTAAGGAAAGCTCTTTGAGGCAGCGGCTTTCTTTATCTGTGTGTCTAGTACAGCTCTGAGCACTTAGCTAATACAGAAAATCATAGTCATCATGCTGTATTTTTCTTACCTAAATTGGACAGTTGTTTAGTCCAGAAAGAAGGGTCCCAAGTGAATCTGATCTTCCAAGGAGGGCCTACTTCTGTGCTACAATTTGTCTCCAGCAAATGCTGTATCTGAAACACAATCTGGCAAAAAATCAAAGGATCATTGTTTCATCCAGTAGATTTAAAATCATTATAGTTTAATGTTGAAGAAACATTAAATCCTTAAAAGAGTCATTGACCGGGAATGAATTTAGCCTAATATCATACAAAGCTCCTGTAGCTTCTCAGCTCTCAGACAACATTCAGATATATTTTGTGCTGCACAATATGTTTTCTCTTAGTTTTTATTTGCAGGCAACAAGAGCCCCATTCTGAATCTGGCTTTCCCCTGTACCCCGGCCTTGTGTTCAGAGTGCCCTGGTAGATTCCTATCTTTTTAGGGCTCCCTGATCCCTGACTTATGGCTCCTGCACGGTTCCCGAGGCTTCTCCCACCCATTTCTTTCTGATTCACTATTTTCCTAATTAAGTTACCCTTTCTGGATCTCGTACCACTGCACAATTTCCTCTCACTCAGACAGTGGGTATTACTCTTACCAGTTCCTTACTGAAGAGGAATGGAATGCTGTTTTTACTGCACACTGCCCAGTTGATAAAGTTCTGCACGTGTTCAAACTGCCTGTTTAAAACCATGATGCCTTGAAGTTGTTGCTCCAACTTCTGTTTCCTCTCGCTGGTAATTCTCTGGTGATAATGAGAAATAGCATGTTCTGCATAACTTTAGCCACCGTTCAGATATACTTACTACATACAGTCAGTGTGTATCATAAAAGGCATTGTCTGGATGGGCACTTGCTGAAAATTTGGAACCTCTTTGAACCATCAAGTAGAAAGAGACAGCAGAGCTAACAGATAGATTCCCTTCTTAGTCAACAGACACTTCCAAGTTCCACAGGAACCGACGGGAGCTCAACCCTGAAAAGTGCTGAGCACTGTGGCCCTGATCAAAGCGTTTACACACATGCTCAGCTTTAAGCTCATAAGCAACCCCATTGGTATCATAGACAGACAGGCACAGAGATGGTATCAAAATGCCTGAAAGCTGAAGCATCCAAAATTGCAGGTCATTTTCCAGAATGTGGACCAGAGAGTCTAATATTCAAAGGATGGTGTAACAGGTGCCTGTGCAAACTCCACATTGGTACATAAAAACAGGAAGTCAGTGGCAATAGATTCAAGGGCATCTCTGGGTGCCATGCATTTTGTAGGCACAGCCGTTGTAACCACATATGAAAATGTGGCTGGCCCACAAGGAGCAAATAACGTGCCATTTTTCATAGTTACCTTTCTGACTATGATCCCATTTTACATTTGAGATAAAAAATATTTTGTTTAACTGATGCACTATAACGTACACAAGACGTATTCTTTCTTCTGGCTGGGGTTAGGATTTAACTTGCCAAGGCAATGTCAGAAAAACTCTCCTGTTAAACCAATTTTCAGTATCACTGGTATCATTCTCACTTACCTCAAGTTGCTCTAGAAGGGCATTTGTTCGTTTATTGATTTCATTCATCAAAACCATCTTGGCCATTTTGATCTGATTTTCCACTTTTCTGTGCAAATGTTTTACTTCAAATAACCTGTGGGGAAAGTATAAATACACCTTCATGAATCAATCAGCATTCCATTTATTCAGCATTTGAAAGTTATTAATGACAAGGAGAACAGATCTGAGAACTGATAACAGACTCAGGGCCCTATCCAGCTTCCACTGAAGCTAATGGAACGATTCCCACTGATTTCAGTGGAACTAGATCAGGCTCTCAAACACTTCCCCACTGGTCCTCTAAAATTGCTTCATATATACAGCACAAGTCAAGATATTTAAAGTTGGCAGAATTCAATTTTATTTTTTATAATTTTGATGGATAATATCGATGTTTTTAAGCATTTTTATTGGTATCTATTTAAATTTTCACAGTTGCACAAAATTATGGTTTTTAAGTATTTGTAAAAATTTTCATCTATTTAAATTTTCACAGTTGTGAGAAATTATGCGGTGGTCTGACAATAATTATTTAATAACAGAAGACATTGAGATTCAATAAATTAAAGCTTTATAACCATTAAACACAAATTGCCAATGTCACATGTCAAAATGTACAAAGTAAATATAATTAAATCAAAACTCTCATAAGTTCTCAAGCAGCATTTTTCTTATTTTGCCGATCTGTAAATTTCAATGATCATCGTTGGAAATTTTTTGTTTTTGGTTTGTACAGTGAAATTAATGTTTACTGACATTTCCTGATAAGCCTAAGAATATTCTACATGCTTTATTCTTCTCCCTAGGGAACAGAGAAAACTACGTCTACCCTCTGCATACAAGAAACCCTCACATGCTTCAGATGGACAACTGACAAAAGAGGGACAAAATAAAGAAAAACAATAGTCTCAAATAAATGTTTAATTTACCTTCAGAAAAATTAATGTCTAATTAATTACTTCATACTACACTACAGTATAGGTCAGGGGTAGGCAACCTATGGCACGCGTGCCGAAGGCGGCACACGAGTTGATTTTCAGTGGCACTCACACTGGCCACCGGTGGGGGGGGAGGGGGCTCTACATTTTAATTTAATTTTTAAACGAAGCTTCTTAAATATTTTAAAAACCTTATTTACTTAACATACAACAATAGTTTAGTTATATTTTATAGACTTATAGAAAGAGACTTTCTAAAAACGTTAAATGTATTACTGGCACGCGAAACCTTAAATCAGAGTGAATAAATGAAGACTTGGCACACCACTTCTGAAAGGTTGCCGACCCCTGGTATAGATGGATTTATATGGGTTTGAGGGTTTTAAAAGTGATCTCAACTTTCCCATTAATTGGACTGACAGCAAACAAACCCAGCATAAGTAACTGAACATCAGTTCATATAATGAACTATCTTCTACTGTTACATCATTTAGGCTACGCCTACACTAGAGATCTTACAGCGGCACAGCTGTACTAATGCAGCTGTGCCATTGTAAGATCTCTCGTGTAGCCGCTCTATGCTAATGGGAGAGCTCTCCCATCGATATAATTAAACCACCCCCAACGAGCAGCAGTAGCAATGTCAGCGGGAGAAGCTCTTCTGCCAACATAGTGCTGTATACACTACCACTTATGCCAGTGAAACTTATGTCATTCCGGGAGGTGTTTTTTTCACACTCCTGAGCAACATAAGTTTTGCCAACATAAGCGCTAGTGTAGACATGGCCTTAGTTCATGTCTTTAACTGTAGCTTGGTTGCCAGGTTTCTTGAAAAAACAAGTACTAGAGTTTTATATAATAGATAGCTCTGATCTTTTCCTGTTCTACTTTGGTATTACTAGATAATATCAAAATATCTTTGGAAGTTGCAATCAATTGTCATATGCTCCTTCAGTCTGCCCCAGTTCTGTAGTACTGAGAAACGGCATCTTTGCCTGTTTAACTGCATATGTATATTTGAGATATTTAATCTATTATTTTCTACTTTTAAAGAAAAAAATCTAGCATCTTTAGCTACCACTGGTTAGCTGCATTTTAGCTGAAATAGGATTTTTACTGAATACCTCCTTTCATGTGCAACAGTTACCTGTCTTCAATCTGTTTAGCTGAGACCTGCATCCCAGTTTTTCTCTCTTCCACTTTGGCTGTTACATTTTCTAGGATAACCCTCTGATTTTGCAAAGCCTCTTCAAGATGCATGAACCTGGGAAAGGAGGGAAGTTTTCACATGGATTCCTGTTCTGTTCACAAATTAGTCATTCATCAAGTCTTCCCTAAATATTTTTCCTTCTTTGCTAGCTTACAATAAGGCACTGTCGTTACTTAGCAGATTAATAATAAATCAGAATAGAATTAAGAGCTCAGTTGTGCCTGCCAGGACACACTGGGAGCTGCACCAATCCCAAAAGAATTTGCCCATTGTTATTTTCCACCTGCTGCTACACTCTTTTATTGGATGCAGTTTACTATTTCTCTCTGTGCGGCCAGCAAGCTCTGCTGGTGAGCACATAGGGCAGAGCAAGGGGCTTTCCTCCACAGCCTCTGGAGAGCTATGAACCCCCAACAAGGGAGTTGGAAAGGAACAATCCCTACACTCCTCCACAAAGATTCCAGCTATGCCTGGCTTTTACATGGGTCCTTGCACCCTTCTTCTCCTCTACACAACGGTCCATGCATGGACTTGCCTTAAGTAAGTGGATGTGCCTAAGCCCTAGATAAAAATATAGCTGGGATCAATCTATTTAGGAGAGGAGCAACTAGGGACACACACAGACAGTTAGAGAAGCCAGGTTTGTATTTCATATGGATTTATTTCAAAAAAATATTCTTTGCTAATATATGCAATACAAACCTTACAGGCCACATTACTAGCTCACACCCTGAGCTGCTGGACTGCACTGATGAGAAACTAGTATTTATAGAAAAAAATTCAAAGAGACCTCAATTTGAGCATCCAAAATGGTGCACCAAAACCTGAAAAAGCACCCGTCCTGTATTTGCACATGCACACCACATCTACCACCTAAACACACAGACTGTCTGCACAAATATAGGCTGCAGTAAAACAGATGTCAGTTTCACTGCCCACATTTACTTGCTTCCCATATTCTTCTGCTTCCCTTCTAACCCCTTGCCATGCTCCCACCTTCCCTTCCAATCACAAACCCTCTATATCCCCCCACATCCAACACCTCTGTATCCCACCCATCCTGTCCCATGCATTAGTACCCAAACATAGTCACAGACTCACCTCACAAAAATCTCCTTCAATTTCGACATAAAAACTTCCCATGGCACACACACACCTTCTCACAATCACAGTCAAACTCACAATGTTGACCTCAGAATATCTTTTTGTAAAAATAATACATTATAGACTCTTTAAATAAAAGTATGTCTATTGGTGAGATATCTTAACTATGCCAAGGCCAGAATTCACTCTGATTGTGAGGAACTGGATGTGCACCTGGTGGTTGGGTAGATACTGGAATTGGAAGTGTATGAGCTGCAGAGTCTGTGAGCGTGTCTGGGTATTAAGCTGTTTGGGTGCAAGGCATGTGAATTGAGTTTGGCATGCCTGTTAAAGTTGTATTAACCTGTGATTTCCTTAATTTTTGGTGACTATATTGATAGGAAATGCAGCTCTGCAACCTCAAGGCCACGTTAACTGTTTTTAGGTGGGGTCAATCAGGAATTCATGTTTGGTACCTGTGTTCCTTGTGTTCGGTCAGAAGGCAGTTGCGGCAAGTAAGGACATCACAGGTCTCACAAAACAGTTTAAGGCTCTCTTGACAGTGGATTGGACAAAACAAGGAAAACTCATTTGTTCCCCCTTCAGTTCCTGGAGAATATAAGACAGTGGAGCACTGAACACTAATTGTAACTAATTGTAACTGTGGTACTGCAAAGCTGCCTTAGTTTTGCCTTTTACATATTGCAGTGTTGCCAACTCTCATGATTTTACTGGAGTCACGTGAGACTGACTTTTTTAAAAACATGAAAGTTTAGTTTCTCATGTAAGTTTCTAGCCTTTATGGTTGCAGAGCAAAACTTGAAAACATGACCTGAGTGCAGCCTAAAGGCTCAGAAACCAGATCACAAAGAAAAAGAAGCCAAATTGTAATATTTTTAAAATCTCATGATTTAAGACAATTTCATGATTTGGGGCGGGATTGATTCATGATTTTTGAATGCTTGAAGTTGGCAATACTGATACTATAACAAAGAAACTGGTGTAACATGCAGTAAAATAAATATGTTAAGTGAATCCAAAGTCAGGAAAAAAGCAAGGAGATTGTTTATTCCTAAAAAGGTGTCTATGGGGTTTTCTCCACACTCTTGTTTGGCTTCTGTGGTCAAATGCAGCACTACATAAACTTCAACAACTTGTGGTTCCTGCACCTGCTCACTAAAACAGGGTAAGCATTATTCCCTAAACAGGAGTAATAAGCAATGCACAGTGGAACTGCGAAGTGGGAGGGTTGCATGTAGGCAGTCTATACTTGCCTTCCTCCACATGTGGAGGAATTGCCTTAAAAAGAGAAAGAGTATGAGAGCAGGGTGAGAGAGAACTCAAAGGGATGGTGAAACAAGAGAAACAAAGCCCCCTTTCTAGAATTATATGCTCACAAGTGCATCTGTGTTGAAAACTCAGAAGCTGTGTTCTTGAATCCCAGAGGCTCCAGATAAGTGTTCAGACTTGAGATATCTAACTTAGCCCACCCACCTAAACATTTTAATTTTCACCCGTCACTAGTTCATAATAGGGCAAAAGCAGTTTACAGAGCACATTTTCATCTGTGGAGACCCAGCTTAGGTTGCAAGTGAAAATAAATGTAATATCTCCATATTAGTTCCACTTCATGCACATCACCAAAACATCACAGAGTTTGGCATGATAGGCAGTCTTTGCTGAAGAGAGGCTGAAGGCTCAAACAGGTCAGGACTAAGGTGTTGTCACAGAACTATGCCGAGGAATTCACACAGCCCCTGCCCATAACATGACTGACTCTAGCCCATGTTATTAGGTCTTTTATAAGCATTATATTTGGGGGGGAGGGCACAATCACATCCCCAAAGGTACACCCTTGTGGAGACTGTGTCGTGTGTTGTCACCATCTCTCGAAAACTTCACTGAAGTTATCAACTCTAGATTAATAGTCTTCAGTTCCCTATTTATAAAAATGTGGATTAGACTACTTCCTTTCTTCCACACTTTGCCTGGTATATCTATCAGACACTAAGCAATTTGGGGCAGTGACTGCTTCTTACTATGTGTCAGTACAATCCCAAAATCAGGCCATTATGGGGCATCTGGGCACTGCTGTAATACAAACAAATAATAATACCAACAATACTAATCTGACAACAAAGAAACGGTGTACAACAGGCCAGTGACTAATATGGTGAATAAGCCTTCGTGCAGTTAAATCACAAGAAGAATCCAGAGATGGACTAGCAGCTTTGAACCAATGTATTCTAATAAGACACATTTGTCTTGAAGCTGGTGACGTCTTTGTTTCATAGGATGTCGCCAGTGAAGAAAAAAGAAGGACCAATCATAGAGAGTGAACTCTTGCCATCTCAAGCAGATCCCTAGTTTATTGTGTGTTTACGTATGCAAAAATATATCACTCTGCTCACAGCTGAGTCTCTCTCTGATGTACTATGTAATACATATCTATCCTTAGGTGAGCCAAGAAGTTTGGCCCAGAGAGCCAAACTATTTCTAAATTGAGAAGTGTTGATTTTCGTTCAAGACCATTGCTAATACAAATTTGTAGACAGTTTTTTTTGTTTGTTTGGTTTTTTTTACACATGCATCAACCACGTTAGTCCCTGTTCTAATTCAGTCACTTAATGCTAATTTCAAAGTCATGATATAAAAGGCACAATCGACTCATGAGGTTTGCTTTCAGTGAGGCCCTTCTTGTTTCTGACACTTAGAATAAAAGTATGGATGGATAGAATCCATCCCCTGCCTCTCGGGACAGCATGAATCTGAGCAGTTAAAATCAAGTATCTTATTGCCTTCTTGGCAAGATTTCCAGCCTATTCTTAATATTGATGATTAGGTTCATTTACTTCCTCAAAATTCAAAGCTGTCTTTCTTTCCATCCTGGATTTAATGTGTAATAAGATCATTTGTACAAGGTATTAGATCAAGATTTTTATGCAACAGCATTGCATATTTTACATTTTTGATGCATTAGTAACCATGGTGTCATGTTTTATTTTTCATGGATGTGTAATTACCTGACATTTTTGTTTTGTATTATCACTATGTAAAATTTTAATAAACAGTATTATTAAAAAATGGAAGTTGAGCCTGAATTTTATTCATCCCTCTCCTAATAGCCTTCTATGTATCCAAGAAAGAACTCATGCTTCATGAATTCACAATCCCATGTTTTCAATGGTTCTCTAGTTTCTGTGCAAACACCTGCTTATGCATTAAAAACCCACCTCTGCAAAAATCAAGCAGTTAGATGTTCAAGGGTGATTTTCCTCTACCTTATCAGAGTAGTGTACCAAATGCAGTGAGCAACATAATCTGAACCTCAGGTTTCATAATCTGAAAAACATCTAGAGATGTTCTGTGTCCCATCTCCCAGGCAGGCTCTTGAGAGGCAGAATGGTTATATTGTGAAAGTACAGGACCAAGGCTACCCCTGCTGTCTGGGTTTTGAGGACAATGCAAATAGCTCTTGCTTATAGCGGGAACAGTTTTTTAAGGTCAAACTAGTCCAAGTACAATGAAACACTCTTATTTACTGTCATACAGTAAAAGCTTCTACTTTGCTTTCTCCCTCTGAAAGATCTGTAGCCTACTGGTGATTTAAATCATTCCAAAGAAATCAATGTTTTCTCAGTATGATGTCAGATTTAAAAGACAGCCACTTTTCAAATGGAAACTAGGGAGATACCCTTGTCAGCTAAAATCACACAGATTCAAAGCCACATTACTCTAGTAACTCCCAGGGCTCAATAAACATATCAGGTGCCAATTGGCAATCTCATTACACTGCTTGCATTCTACACCTACTTTTATTCTCAGTTCAGAACTATGCTCTCCATGTGGGAATCATAGTTATCATAATCCAAGTCAGTTTATTGATCATCATATCAACAATAGTAAGAAATCATTTGCCCTATGTACTGGCACTACCATCACTTTCCTTCAGAATGTGAGTTTTGAAACAGATGAAGAAAATAACTACACCTCTACCTCGATATAACGCTGTCCTCGGGAGCCAAAAAATCTTACCGCGTTATAGGTGAAACCGCGTTATATCGAACTTGCTTTGATCCACCGGAGTGCGCAGCCCCGCCCGCCCAGAGCACTGCTTTACCACGTTATATCCAAATTCGTGTTATATCAGGTCGCGTTATATCGAGGTAGAGGTGTATCTAGTTCACAGAAGCTTAAAATGGGCATTTTTAACTATTAAAAAAAAAAAAAAAGATGAACACATATTCACCATTTTGGATCACCATTTCCAAGGCCTGTATACAGTAACTGTCCTTATCTCAAATAAATATAAGACAGTGTGATCTCTGTGGGTATGTTTACACTGCAATTAAAAACCCGCAGTGGACCCTTGCCAGCTGTCTCGGACTCACGGGACTTGAGCCAAGGGGCTGTTTGAGTGTGGTGTAGATGTTTGGGCTCAGGCTGCAGCGCAGCTCTCGGACATCCCCCCACACCTCGCAAGGACGTCTACACCATAATTAAACAACCCTTTGGCTTGAGACCGGCAAGACTGAAGCTGGCACGAGCCAATTGCGGGTTTTTAATTGCAGTATAGACATACCCTGTGATACTAGAAGGGTAGCTTGAATTTTCTGGCATTTGAAGACCTGGAATGTCAATTAGGGTTGGGCAAAATCAACTTGCCTAATAAGATCCATCCTCCAGCTTCACAGATTTAACATTTGACTTGAACAAATTACATGTGAATGCATGTTCATGTTGGAGAGACTGAAAAAAGAGCAGAGCATAGCAGGGTTTTCACTTGGCACTAGCCTAACTTTTGAATGTGAGGAGTTCTTCTATGCCAAGGCATAGCATACACTTCCATTTAGCTAGGGGGGAAAAACGTACTAAAAATTGAATCTCCTTTGGAAAAAAACTGGGCGGGAATGAGAGGGGAAAAAAGGTTATGGTTTTATTAATCTAAAATACAGTCGGAGAGGTTCAGAAAACTTTGAACATCATGAGGTTTGCCTGGTATCAATGCAAAGCCCCTAAGTAAAAGACTTCTTCAGAGCTTACTCTCCTAAGACAGACATTTTTTCATATAGCTTCTTATGCTGTAATAAATCTTCTTTCACATCTTCAGTGCCTATCTTGTTATCCTCCTATGTTTATTACATTAATTCTGTGAACAGATTTCATCAAAGTTTATGTATATGGTAGTCACAGACCCAAGAAGATATTTTTTTTCAAACAATCAACAAAAATCAATCTATGAAAAAAAGTACTATTGGCCCTCATTGTACTGGCTCCCTTCTTCAGTCAATGTTAAATAAAAAACATTCCTGTCCATGATTTGCTCCAACTATCAGCCACATTGCAGCTTCACTTTATATTCATAACCAGCAATGTCACAGCCAGGCCCTCACACTGGTGTTGGAAATTCCATAAACAGGTCGGCTAACAGGAAAACACCGATGCAAACCAACTGTGTACAAATGCTAACAGGAAAAAAAAAAAAGGAGAAAAACTATTTATTTGGATTTATACACATAGCCATTAAAAATGAGTGCCCATCCTTTGCTTTAGGTATACCCTGACAAATAGCTATACAACTATGAAACAGACCACTCCTGTAACCTTCC